CAAGTATGTTTTACTGAAACGTGTCACTGGCTCTGAGACTAGACTACAAGAAAACTATTAATGAGGGCTGGAAAAGTGGTAAGGAAAGAGTGGCGGTTGAAAAAGGGGGGAGAAAAAAGCTATAGCATGTTGGAAAAATGTTAGGCAGGGGTGAAACAATTAGAAAAACTACTGTCTGTGATAACTTGGAACATGGAAAATGTACCTATCGAAGTTTTGGATGTACCTAAGAAGACCTCCAGGCAGAATGATAGAAGTGTCTTTCGTTTGTTCATCCCTGCATATAGTAAGAGAATATAGAGACAAGGTGAAGAACTGTTTAGTTTGCAAGCAGAATTGAGATGAAATATGGAACAGCTAAGTTTTGCTTGGTTAGAAAGTAAAGCTTTCTTCTCCTCAGTCTCCCCAGAAATGTTAGGGAGCAGTGACTGCTAGGTACCTTCCATTCCTCCCCTTTTGGAATGGAAATGTTTATTGCACTTATACAGTTCCTGTATCATTACTTTGGGCTGGGTGTGTAAGGGGCGATAACTAGTCTTTTTATACCACAGTCTCTGGATCAACAGAGGTCACATCCAAGAAACTGAATTTAGATATGTTGAAAATTACAAGATTAATATTATAAACTTTTGAGCTTAGTGCCATAGTTGGATGAGTCCTTTAAGTTTCTGAGATAGAGTTGAGTGTATTTTATGTGTGGGAATAATATGAATATTCATGACCAGTGTGACCAGAGGGCTGACTGTGGAAGAATGTAAAAAGAACCATAAATCCTATTCCCCTTTACATTCATACTCTTGCAGTATGACATTGCAGATTCTACCATGAAGAGAGTCTGTGTGTCCACACCTTGAATCTGAGCTGACTATCTGGCTTGCTTTGACTACTGGGATGTTGGTAATCATGATACAAATAGAATTTTTTTTTTTTTTTGCCTAATTAACATTTGTTATTTGGCTGATAGGTTGATTAATTTAAAAACAACTTTTTGTCTTGAGACTACAGGGTTGAAATAAAGGGGACACGCTCTCCTTATCTTCTGGAGACCATGCCTGCAGCTAAGGCTTTGAGCGCCATTTTTTTTTATTGGTTATGAATATTCATGAGATACGAAGCTGATTGTCACCCCGGGTGCCCATGATGTGAGAGCCAGATTCATACTGGCAGCATACCCATTACCACAAACTGCATTTGTACCCTGTGTCCCCCACCCAATTATCCCCAACTTCCCTCTGCCTTCTCCTCCCCCCCCACTCCACTTTGTGGCCCAAAGAATGTTCTCTCTCCGTGTAAGTCTAATGCACCACTGTGATCTTTCTTCCCTTCCTCCTCTCTCTCTTAGCTCCCACTTATGAGTGTACATGCGGTATTTATCCCTCTGTGCTTTGCTTATTTCACTCAACACAAGTTTCTCCAGGCTCATCCATGTTGTTACAAATGGGAGTGTTTTCATTCTTTTTTATGGCAGAGTAGTATTCCATGATGTATATAACCACCATAATTTCCTTACCCAATCATCCATCGATGGACATTTAGGTTGGTTCCATGTCTTGACTAATATAAACAGAGCTGCAATGAACATGGGAGTGCAGGTATCCCTTCAACATGATGATGTCCATTCCTCTGGGTATACACGCAGAAGTGGGATTGCTGAATTGCATGGAAAATCTATCTGTACTTGTTTGAGAAACCTCCATACCATTTTCCATAGTGGTTGTATTAATATACAGTTCCACCAACAGTGTAGGAGCAATCCCTTCTCTCCACACCCTCATCAGCACTTATTATTCACCATCTTTTTGATTATAGCCAGTCTAACTGGGTTGAGGTGGTATCTCAATGTAGCTTTAATTTGCATTTCCTTGATGACTAGTGATGTTAAGCATTTTTTCATGTACCTGTTGACCATTTGTATGTCTTCCTATGAAAAATGTCTGTTAAGCTCCTTTGCCCATTTTTTAATTAGGTTATTTGGTTTTTTACTTTATAATTGCTTGAGTTCCTTGTATATTCTGGATATAATCCCTTGTCAGATGCATAGTTAGCAAAAATTTTCTCCCACTCTGTAGGTTGTCATTTCACTCTGTTAATTGTTTCCTTTGCTGTGCAGAAGCTGTAGGTTGTCATTTCTATACACGCAGAAGTGGGATTGCTGAATTGCATGGAAAATCTATCTGTACTTGTTTGAGAAACCTCCATACCATTTTCCATAGTGGTTGTATTAATATACAGTTCCACCAACAGTGTAGGAGCAATCCCTTCTCTCCACACCCTCATCAGCACTTATTATTCACCATCTTTTTGATTATAGCCAGTCTAACTGGGTTGAGGTGGTATCTCAATGTAGCTTTAATTTGCATTTCCTTGATGACTAGTGATGTTAAGCATTTTTTCATGTACCTGTTGACCATTTGTATGTCTTCCTATGAAAAATGTCTGTTAAGCTCCTTTGCCCATTTTTTAATTAGGTTATTTGGTTTTTTACTTTATAATTGCTTGAGTTCCTTGTATATTCTGGATATAATCCCTTGTCAGATGCATAGTTAGCAAAAATTTTCTCCCACTCCGTAGGTTGTCATTTCACTCTGTTAATTGTTTCCTTTGCTGTGCAGAAGCTTTTTAGTTTAATATAGTCTCATTTGTTTTGGAGCTTGATCTTTTGCTGCACGTGAAACCCTAAGACTGCCACACAAGATAGCTTGCTAGAGCGTGAGAGACTGTGTGGAGGAGAATTAAGATACCATTCAATGGCAAGCCAGTCCATAGCCATGAGACAGTCAACTGCCAGATATGTAAATGAGGCCAACAAATGCCAGCTGCAGATGCATGAGTGAGGCCAGACAGGATCAGCAGACTGCCATTCATGTCATCCAAGCCTACCTGCCAGCCTTCAGAACTGTAAGTTAATAAACGGTTGCTCTAAATCACTAAGTTAAGAGAAGATTTGTTATATACCAGCAGCTGATACAATGGAGAAGGAAGACCTGGAGCAACATTGGTGCCAGGGCTTGCCCTTGGATCTCACATCTTTTTGACAAAAAGGAGATCTTGGAGTACAGGCAAATAGAATCAATTCCAAGCCCCATTAAGTGACAGATCCCAGAACTAATTTCAACAGGAGCAGGATGGAGGTTACAAGTGAAGCTCCAGACATGAGGAAATGAGAAAGATCAGAGCAAGTGTATAAAGCCACTAGATAATGCTCCACAAATTTAAAGCAACCTATGGCAGGGTTTCCTTCTTTTTTAAGGCTGAATATTATCCCACTGCATATGTATATCACATTTTCCTTATCCATTCATCTGTCAACAGACATTTAAGTTGTTAATTAGCTTGATTGTGGTAATCATTTCACAATGTAAATATATATCAAAACATCACCTTGTACACCCTAAATATACACACTTTTTACTTGTCAATCATACCCCCAATGAAGCTGGAAAAAAATGAAATCAGCTTATTCCATCATAGCAAATGAGAGAATCAGATCAGGAAGATTTAATTTTAAACTTTAATGTTCAGCATGACTAGAAATCAGTGAGTTAGAAAATAGCAAGTGGTTTGAGTAGTTTTCTAAAATTAAGGATGTTGTTAATATTTTAAATGAAGCTTAGATAATTAGACATTTCTGTGGAGCTTTCTCTAGCATAGTGGTAGACAATGACTTTGAACTGGGATCCAGACGGAAAACCATGCTGGGTCATTTGATGTGACAGGTTGG